CAAAGAATAATAACGGCACCTTACTTCAAATATGTATATAATTATGTTGTTTTTTTAGTTTGTGTGTGGGGCCTTTGTGTTTTTGGCAAGAGTAGGGTAGGGCCGTTTGGATAGGGCCCCGCCAAAGCAAATGTCCTTACCCCAAATATGTATATAATTTTTTAGATTGTGTGTGGGGTTTTTGACAAGAGTAGGGTAGGGCCGTTTGGATAGAGCCCCGCTAAAGCAAATGTGTGGAGCTGCTACATGAAAAAAAACCACTTTTGCCTTTTTCAGTTGGGTTTTAACCCCAAGCTACAGATGACAAATAAACCAGGTAAAGCGACAGCGCGGCATGATTATTCTTCCAGAAGAGATGCACCGCAGATCTGGGGCAAACCCAACAAACCCAACGCCTGCATGATGCATGTGTCAGGAGCTGGGCCTTCCATGAAACCTTCAACGGGCTGGCACAGCTTACTTGGCCCATCTTGGAGGTTGCTTTGCGCATCACTCTAAACAACGAATACGCATCATGTAGCATGTAGCCCTGGAAATGTGAGAGTTGTAGGGTTTGCCGCAAGAAGACCTGTGCTGGGTGCTTCCCCATGTGGCTGTGCAAGCCCGACAATGTTGATTTGTGGCAAGCAAAGCCTGTTTTGCACATGTGCTCCAGACAATTCTTGCCCAATGTTGCCACACGTGCAAGGCCAGTGATTGAATCACCGTTCTGTTGTTTTATCATCTGAAGGCAAAAAACACAAATGCACACCTTTGCTCGTGAGGACAAAATGTTGTGAAAGGGAGATCCAGATTGATGAATATGGTGTGCATGTGTGTGCCGCCGGCCAGGCTGGGCGAGACGGAGTGACAGCAAGAAACCAACCAAAAAACAGGCCGTGAAAAGAATTATGAGGTTTGCGAGGGTTTGGCTGGCCAATGCGGTGGCTTTTGCAAAAAAAACTGAGGTCAAAATGCTTTTCATCGTAACAACGGACTGCACATGGTATAGCAAGTTGGCTGGAAACACACACATATGCAACATCCACGAGAGAGTGGCACTGGCACGGCCAACAAGCAATCTGAGAGGAAGGAAGATAGGGTGATGTTCAAGGTTCTCGGGTTTCCTAAAAAAATATTGGACCACTTGATTGACCTCACACTGACCAATTCAAATAAACCCTGGTATCTGTCGACCACCCAAGCAACAAGTACACACTGTTTTTAATGCGGAAGGTGTCTCCCGAGCTGGTGCAACGCTCTGAGTGCGTTGGGCGTTTTTGGAGTTTGAAATGAAATACAATTTTGTTGTCGCTAAAATCATTATTTGGGAAATAAGTACGTCAAATTGTTTTTAAATTCGTCGGTTGACATAAATATCTCACCAATAAGGTCATCAAATCATAACTAAGAGAGCGGCGATCAAATCCGCGTATGTCTTGTCAAGGGCAAGCTGCAACTTGCCGCATAGCGCCTAGCATGGTTTAGCTTAATCATACTTTCAATGATGGAATATCACATGATCATCATGCTGCAGACAACTCACATACACGTGCACACAAAGATTTTTTTTTGCCCTTGTAGCTTGCATTTGCGTGTCACATGAGGCTCCACATGAGGCTCCTCAGCGCTCACATGAGGGTCCAGGCATACGATACGTCCCGATAAAGTTCTCAGCATGCACATCTGTGGGTGCCCAGTTGCTCAATCAATATGCGCATCATTGATCTAAAAGAAAAGCAAATTATTGAAAATTCATGTAAAATTCATAAGGTTAGGAAAGGGTGTTACAAGATACAAACAAGCAATCTTAATACTATAAGGAAAAAGCAAGATGATTCAAAATTTGTAGGAGCTTTTTGCTTCAAGAAGCAAAGCAGGCGTTGGGTCCGCCCCAGATCTGCGGTGCATTTCTTTTGGAAAGATAATGACGCCGCGATTTGCTTTGGCGGGGCTCTATCCAAACGGCCCTAACCCTACTCACAAAGGCCCCACACACAAACCAAAAAATATATATATACATATTTGAAGTAAGGTGCCGTTATTATTCTTTGCCCGTACAAGACCATGCCGTCCAATATTTTTTTCCGGGGAAATATTGGTTATATTCGTTTCATCTAAGTTTATGTAAATTGTTTTCAATTAAGTTAACGCAACAACGGCTGTTAAAAAAAAAGCATTAGTTAATTAACTGATTAACATAAGAGATTTGTCGATTAGTTGATTGAGTGATTGATTATATCGAAAGGTCGACTATATAGAATCAAGCGGGATCATATGCACACGGATGGCAGCAGCATGAGGACCATGTGATACTCCATCATTCACGGTATGATTAAGTTACCCTGTGCTAGGGCTATGCGGCAAGTTGCAGATTGCCCTTGACAAGACATAGGCGGATTCGATCGTCACTCTATTAATTATGATTTGATCACCTTATTGGTGATATATACATGCTATGCAACTCATGTTTTAGAATTTGACTTGGGGCTAGGTTGTTAAAAACTGCATTCAAATCGATCTTTGGTGACCACCATATAGCTGCAGACAAGTCACATACACGTGCACACAAACATTATTTTCCGGCCTAGTAGCTTGCATTTGCTCATCATGCCCATTATGGTCTTTCAAAATACACTTATACCATACAATTTCCTCCGGCATGATGAGTATAGCGAGCTACCCATATTGGGTAGCAAATGAATTGCATAGCCTTGCTCTTTCAGAGCCCGCCTAAGCCGGAGCATGTTGTACATGTCCCACAGTGTGTTTCTCATCATGCATATATTTGTGGGTGCCCAGTTGCTCAATCAATATGGGCATCATTGATCAAAAAGTTTTTAATCATCTTTAATTAAGTAGTGTTTTTTTTTAAAAAAAAAAAAATTGTCGAATTAAAAGCAAATTACTGAAAATTCATCTATTTTATGTTTATTATCGATGCCGAAAATTCATAAGATTAGGAAAGGTTTTTAGAAGATACAAACAAACAAACTGAATAATATAAGGAAAAAAGAAGATGATTCAAAATTTGTGGGAGATTTTTGCTTCAAGAAGCTTGCAAAACAGGATCAAACGTCTCTCTGCGCGCATGGAATTCAGTGCTACGCATTTCTGATTGCGCACCAGGCTGTAGAAATGGCGAAAAGCACTGGTTGCATTCTTCCCGCTTTAGTGTGCACCGATGTCACCTACAAGGCGCGCTGTGCCGATTGGCATAACACGCAATGCGATACTCTAGCGAGATGATGCAAGGCACAACATAACGCAGGGTTTTGATTGTGCTAAACTTCCATTTGCTCAATTTTTTGCTTATGCAAAACATTTCGCCTGTGTTGGGTTGTTTTTGAGCCACAAAGATCGCATCGTTTGTGGCGGATATTGATAAGCCGCTGAAAAGCACTCACCTTCGCAGAGTCCACAAACTGTGTGATATGCTAGCCGTATCTTGGGCGGTGTGGCACCCAAGTCCCATCTGGGCCCCTCCCAATAAGGATCCCCATCATGAATCTCCCACCAAGGTTCCACACCAAGATCTTCACCAAAAATATCCCATTGAGATTTTGCCTACCCACAAAATCCCCATCATCAAGAATTCCCATCACGAATCACGGGTCCCTATCACCAGCAATTCCCACCATCATGCTTCCCCATCACCAGGGTTCCCCACCAGAGGGTCCCCATCATGAGGGGGGTCCCGGTATCACAACACCATCAAGGGTTCCCCATCAGCAAGGATCCCACCACCAGGGTCCACAGCACCAGAAATCCCCATAAAGGGTCCCCACCATCAAAATCCCCTAACAATAGGGGCCCAACGACCCCAGCAATTTAAAATTCTTAGAACTCAAATAAATGCATAATTCTTTACACACAGCACCCGGCGCCATTGGCACGGTAACACAAAGAATTTGTGGAGTAATTGCGCGCAACATAGATCAAGAAAATTGTTTCCGGCGCCAATAATCTCTATCGTTAAAATTGCTCCTATGCTCTAATGACCCGGGGCAATCCATAACAGCCTCCTAAACGCCGGCCAGAACACAAAAAGAGCGGTAAGGCAGCGCCGAGACAAGTGTATAACAAACCATTTCCCTCTAGTTTTTTTGTTTCTATATTCATCCCTTATCTATCGATGTCTTTGTTTCTATCTTTGTTTTTTGTTTTTGCTTTTTTGTTTATCTATGTTTTTGTTTCTATTTTTTTACTTTGTTTACCTATAATTTTGTTTATTTGTTTATTTGTTTATTTATTAAAATTAATATTATATATCCATACCAATAAAATTTATGATATATGCATATTAAAAACAATATATTGCCATACCTATCACAAAAACTATATTTAATTTTACAAATATAATATAATTCATAAAATATTATATCTTTCAAAATATCTGTTTCTTAATTATATTTTTTTTTTTTTTTTTTTCCATATATCTATTATTCCTATATCTCAAAATTTATAATCTATTTACCAAAAACATTTCTTACAAACACACCCACCTAATTATTAAAACAAATCCAAAACAAGATTTATTCCACAATTCCCCTCCCAAAAACAAAATAAACCATATTCACAAATTCAACCATTCCCATTCCAAACCAAAACACAACAACAGTAATCATCCAATACCTAACCAAACAATAAACTACACAAACTCCTACCGCGGAAATCAAATCTCTTTCTCCTCCAACATATAAATAATCAACACAAACACCCAACAACACTCATCCCAAACCACAACAAATCCAACACACTTAAACCAAAAACACAACAACCATTTCATTAAAACCATATATTTTCTTTACTTTTTACTTTTTATATATATTCTTCTTTAGTCATTAAACAAGATATACATTATTTAAATTTTGTTAGGTATTCTCTATTTCAATCAAACCAAGCGAAAACCGAAATTAGTAGAGTAATATATATGTATAGATATAAATAAGCTTTTGTAAACCCCAAACGTGACATATATCATATTCTCGGATTATTCCACTTTCAATTCATTGTTTTTTCACTGCACACCGGTCAGGCACTCTCTTTTGACACCACAAATTTGTGGAAAAATCCAGGCCCTGCAATACGCTCTACATTAATTATGGGGCGAGCCCTTCACTTTTCCCAACGGGTCAAAAGGTGAGACCTGCTAAAAATCTAAGATCGCTTCCACTACCCCAAACCACTCTGGACAATATGCAGCATTCCCCTTGCAGCCAGTGGTTTGGGAATATGACAACCATCTTAGACCATTAAAATGCGCACCTAGACTAAGGGAGGGTTCTGCTGGTAGGCCAACAGTTGCTGCATTTCCTCAGCCATGAAGCCTCAGCTTTGCAAAATCTATCCCCGACCTCTGGCACACGCACTTCACGGAATCAAACACCTATGCAGTCTCTGAGGCTGCCAAAGGGAGCTCCAGTTGAACGTGTCAGCTTGGAAAGATTGTGCACCTCCGTTATGCTCACTCAGTGCTACTTTATATCGCAAAATGTTATAGAATGTGCGTGAAGGGAGCGGTGGTGGTGGTGGTGGTGGTGGTGGCACCTATTTTGGCAAAGGGCAAGTCAAGCCAAATGATTGACAGGGGGTTTGGCTCAGTAAGATTCATGTGGACTTGAAGGTACTGGTTTGACCACAGACTCCGTTTATGTTGCTACAGTTTCAGGGCAACGGGCAATTTCACTGTTCTTCGGTTCATTTCAATCAGCCAACCAGGCAATTAATCAAGTAAACATTGTCTGCTTCAGGCGTCACACAAAATCGATACAAATCTTGGCTCCACAGATTGCCGTGCGCGTTTGTGTGAACAGCAAGCATTAATGTCCGCAATATTTCATTGGATGTTATACAATTGATAAACAGCCAACAGGGGAGTTTACAAGCATCATCTCGCGCATTGGGCCTCCGCATCCCAAGAAGCCAGCCAAGTTGGTCTGATTAAGAATATTATCAAACGAATCGTTGGGCCTCTTGTCGGCAAAACAAAGCAGACATCTTGCACGGGCCCAATGACGTGTGAGAACCCGGTAAAGCGCGTCCAAGTTTCGGGGATCTACTTTGCCCCGCTGCTTGATCTGGCAAATGCAGCGCCGCAGTCCCTCCTCAGCCAGCAGCGATCAAGCCAAAGTGGAGATCAAGCAAGTGGCCAAAAGACTTTGCTTCCCAATGTCCCTTTCAGTCCACCAGAGCAATGCTTCTGCAACGGGAACTGCCGTAGGTACAAATGGCTCAGCCTTTTCTGGATGTTGCGAGGGCCTGATGCCCGAAACGCACTGGGCCGCGCGCCAGCCAGGTCTCAAATTCCAGCTTGTCGTACAAATCACCACCCTAAGATCACAAGTTCCAAAACCCTGAGCTCCGCCTGTGACTTCCAGAGTTGCACACTGAGTTGCGCACCAGCCATCAAACTGTGATTGCCAACATTGGCCGAGCGGAGCATTCCTTCTCTTCTCGAGGCCCACCATATGGGATGCGCTCGTCAGGAAACAGCAGCTATTTGTTGGATGGGATGTTAGGAACTCGAAGTCTGCCGATCCGAACGCCTTTATCCTCCTAAATCACAGAATAGCAATCAGTTCAATCAAGTCAGATTAAATCAACTCACATCAAGTCAAACTCAATCACTCAATCACTCAATCACTCAATCACTCAGTCACTCAATCACTCAATCACTCAGTCACTCAATCACTCAATCACTCAATCACTCAGTCACTTAATCACTCAATCACTCAGTCACTCAATCACTCAATCACTCAGTCACTCAATCACTCAGTCACTCAATCACTCAATCACTCAATCACTCAATCACTCAATCACTCAGTCACTCAGTCACTCAGTCACTCAATGAATCAGGAATCAATCAATTGATCGATAGATCGACAGATCGTTCAAGCAATCAAACAATCAAGCAATCGAGCAATCGAGCAATCAATCAATCAATCAATCAGTCAATCAATCAATCCAATCAATCCGATCAATCCATCCAATCAATCAGTCAGTCAATCAGTCAATCAGTCAATCAGTCAATCAGTCAATCAGTCAATCAGTCAATCAGTCAATCAGTCAATCAGTCAATCAGTCAATCAGTCAATCAATCAATCAATCAATCAATCAATCAATCAATCAATCAATCAATCAACTCAACTCAATCAATCAACCAACCAACCAACCGACCAACCAACAGGCCAATAAATTAAACATATGTTAATCAACTCACACGCGCACACACTCAACTTCAAACATTGCTTCAGGCATCCTTGAATCTGACCTGAAGTCTCCTGATTGTCTAGGACAAAGCGACCTTGCAACACCAATCCATGTTGCTTTTCCAAGGTGTGTCAGCTGGCTTGCAGCAGTTTTCACGTACAAACTGAGTGTGTTGGCCGGAAAATGATGAAAGCCTCGAAGGGCAAAAGGCCAACGTTTCTCAAAGGCCGAGCTGCCATGACAGACTCGAGCTTCGAAGGGGCGATGTGCAGGAACTCTTTTCCAGGGCTGGCGGGCAGTTGATGGTTAGAAGAGTTCCAGCTAGCTTGTTTTGGATCCTAACGAAAACAGTGATAAAACACAGTGTTGACTGATATACGTGTCGCAACACCAGCCTTGAAGTGCTTGCAATTCAGAATCTGAGGATTTTCATGTGCGAGGTCGTTCGTCCCCCCCCTCACCCCCTGGCAATGAACAACTTGTGCTTCGTCTTGCAGAATTATTCTTAGGTGAGCCCTGTGTAGACAAGCAACTAATCAGGGCACTAGACGCGCTTTTTGCCGGACCTGTTCCGTCGAAGTGTTTTGGAGCTGACAACACTGAACACTTAAGACACAACACCGTGTCCGTACTTGGTGCCTCCCCCGGCCTATAGAATCTAACTTTCGTTGGATCGTCGCCGCTGGCCAGAGGGTGATCCCAACCCTCTTTCAGCTGGTCCACATAGTAGAGGCACTTCCTGTGTGCGCCACTTGCTCTTCCGGTATGGAAGTCAAATCCATTTCGCATCAGGTGGAAGGTGGTTTCACGACCAGTATTCATAGGGCCAACTGCAGGATTTTGAGATTGAGATGGATGGTAGCTCCCTCGATGAACATTCTCTGAAAAGCCTCTCTGTGGTGTGAATTGAGGCCTATCTTGGGCTTCGGACGAAACCGGGGTGTGCCTCTCCTTCTTGTGGCGATTGACACGGTTTGCAATCACTGACACGGTCATCCTGAAGTGTCCTACAATGGGCGACCCAAGAAAGCTGCAATCCCCGAACACCAGGTCCTTGGCATATGAATGTACGCCACCGACACACCAACACACACACACACACACACACACACCGAGGCCGACACGGCTGCACACCTACACGCACAAACACACGCACAATTGCACACCGACACACAAACACAGCTACAAACTGAATCACACCTGAACACCGACACGAATATGTACGTGTAGTAACAGCAGAAGAATGGATGCTGTACCCGACAGTAAGTGCAAAAATCATCATGTTTGCATCCCACAGCAGGTTTCCACTTCACCATTTCCGCAAGATACGCGGATTCCCCTTTAAAAAGCCTAAAAGGTGTTGTTCAAAACCTCCAAAACAATAGGAATTCTACCCCTGGCTGCGAGGCAGGGCTCAGTGTGTAGATCGGATTAGAGTTGAACCAGCTGAAGAGCCACTGGGTTTTGCACTTCGCGAAGGTACCTGAGCCGCGAAGACGTGCCTCTTAGGGGAGAGCCACATCACTTCCATTTGCTCTTGACTACGCATTGAACACCAGAAAGATTTTCAACCAAGGAGCTTTACCTGTGGGATTCTGAACAGGGGATACCATCAGAAAATGTGAACACTGTCCTGGTAGACAAGAAGGCCAATACATGTGGATTGCCTGCAACAATTCACCAAGGACAGTTAAAATCACATCCCACAGGCATAGCTCCTCGACAAAGTCTTCGGACAAGCCCAAGTAGATAAGAATGAACAGCTATGAGATCCGGAATCCTCTCGCATCAAATTCCTCTTGCGGCTTTCGGACGGCCCAGAAAATCAGTGATCACCGGAGGATCAACAAATGCTGTGGGCATTTTGAACGAGGAATCCAGCGGCTGGGGCCATGCTGAGCGATCCAAGGCGGGGGACAGCTCTTCTGGTCACTGACGTTCTCCTTGTGCGCGGGGTCAATGAGGAGAACAAGGACGACCTGAAGCATGGCGGCGTCACTTACCTGACCCTGTCACCCCCTACCTCTGGCACCTCACCTGGCAGATTCCTCAAGGATTGGTGAGGAGAGAAAGAAACGAAAGGCAACTGAAACAAAGGCTCTCCAAACAAAGGCTCTCCGAAGACGTGGACTGAAAAAGACCTCCGAGTAACTGGGAACCGCCCTTTGATGGCTTCCTTGGTCCTTCGCCAGGAAGAGAGAAGCGTGACGCATAGATTAGCCAAGGCACCCAAATGATGCATCCCATGGCCTCAGGGCATGGCAAATGAATCCCGGATCGAGCGGAATGCCCCGATTCGCTCTAGAAACAACCCAAAGAGGCAGGTGTTTGAAAGAAAAGATGCTCTTTCAAAGGCAAAAACGGACTTGGCGCGCGCTGGGTCTCCAGCGTAAGTGGCAAGAACCGCCAGCCATCGGTACCCGATGCCAGAGGTAGACATGATCTCGCCTGGCAAAGCTCGGAGACGGGTGTGACATCGCCTTGAGGCCTTGAGATCTGATCTTGCACCTAACAACGGAAGATTGCCGAACTGCCGGCTTTATGAAGATGGCCTTTGGCCATTGCTAAGGTGGCCAATGGGGTCCGACAGGAACTCATGTTGATGTCTGAAAGAACCCTTTGAAGGGAAAATCATTGTCTATCTGATCTAGAAAACACAGCCCCCACGAACAGCAGGCTGAACCTGAGTTGGGCCACTTATAGGTAGGTTCCCTTACCTTTGCCAAACACCGCAGCATGGATGCCACCCAAATCAATTCCACGAAAAAGGCAAGGCTCATCTCCAGGAGCTCCGTTGGGAATGTCGCAACAGCTTGAATGCGGGGAAAACCCACGTACCGCACACATGAAATTGCTCCAGAGAACTTAGCCTGCACGGATGTTCCAGGCAACGGCGCAGCTGGCAAGGGTGGAAAGGGGAGCTCCCCAGGTGAGCCGCCTCACATCGATTCGCTGCGAATAATCGCTTTCGACCAACCTGTCAACTAAGGCGTAAATACACCAGATTGCAGGAAGATCTCTACAAACACAAGTGGGGGTTGAAACCACCGGAATTCTGTTATTGGTCGACTTTATTCCCTTCTCCGGGCAAACAAATCAGTGACCAGGTGTTTGACCACGACGCACACAGAAGGGACTTGGCTCCTGGAAAGCATCACTTGTCCCAGGCCCGGGACCTGGGTGACATGGGTAGACTCTGCATAGCCCTGGGCCTTTGCTAGTGGTCCGAGAGTGGTTTTGCTGCAGCGGCATGCCCAAACAAGCCCTGAGGGTTTTGCTCTGCCAGCACGGCTAGGCAGTGCAGCCCTCCGGTTTTGCTGGAGTGGTATGTACTCTGAGTGGTGCTGGCCTGGTTTCCGCAGAGTTTGGAGCTTGCTGCGAGTTAGCTGGGAGTGGGTTGATGTTGTGAGAAGTGGTGGATTTGCGCGGAGGTGTTATGTACAAAAGGGGGCGGATGGCACCTCCACCGCTGCGTGTCTGGTGCGAGAACAAGAACAAATCACAATGGCTGTGTCTTTTCCGTCCGTAATCCCTTTGTGAATGTGGAATGTGGGAATGTGTCAAGATTAGGATCATTAGGCGGCCCCGGTTCAAATGGAAAACGCAAAGCATCAAACAGAAGGACACTTACCATCTGAAGGGCTCCTTCCTCATATTCTCATATTGGGGTTGGCCGAATTAACATCCTGAATTGGACTGTGTCGAGCGGAACAAGAGGTACAGTGACGTGGGACGGTCCAACCAGGACTTTGATACAAGTGGCATTTTGGCTGGAATGCCAAGACACGCTCGCCATATGACAAGACCATCGACCGTCAGACATGGAAAGGAAGGAATTGGCGCTCCTACAAGAAACCTTTGACAACCAACAGGGATCAACTTTCAGCTGCATACGGTATGAAATATTACGCCTTGGCTTTCGGTCAGCCAATTCTTGAAACAACCCCATGATCACAGTCCTCTGCTTGATGCACCTGTAACCAACAGAGACGCTGTGTAGTTGCCGAGTGCCAGAATATGCTCAATCTACTAGTGAATCTAATTGCCCTTTACACCCGAGGGTATATGCGTGTGTGTGTGTGTGTCTCTATATATATATATATATATATTTGTTGGTGTGTGTGTGTGGTTGTTTGTCTGTCTGTCTGTTTGTTTGTTTGTTTGTTTGTTTGTGTGTTTGTGTGCATTTGGATTCCGGGTTGAAGCTGACATCAGGGATGCCTCGTGAAAAGCCTCCACAAACTCTTGAACTTTAACAATGGAATACGGAGTGCGGATGAGAACTGGGCCTTTTTTGGATGTGGTAGGGGCACTCTTTTGAGGTTTTAGGCCTGCCCACTTTAAGACAAAGCAATTTGCAGCTGGGGTGGGCAGCTTGGAAGCGTCAGTCGAGCACTGCAAGCACCTGAGCCGCGCACACCACCCAGTCCAGCTTGTCAGTGGAGTAAAACGATGCCTGGCAAGCTGCACATGACAGCTCACAAGGTTTTCAAAGCCCAATGCAACTCGTCATTCTTGCTGGCAAGTTCATGTGAGAATCCGTTGTCACGTCAAATCAGCAGCCTGCAATATAAGATCCCCAAGTAAGCAACCTTCGTCTGGGCGAGCTTGTTTTTACTCCTGTGAGCGCGTGTTGATTCGAGAATAGTGACTCAATATCTCTGCACACTGCTGAAATGAACTCATGTTCAAGCACACCAGACGCACGCTTCCAATTGGATCCATTTCCCAGGCTAAATCTTTGGAGAACTTGCAGGCTCCTTGTGAGTATCTGTGGACCAAATTTCTATTCAGCTCTCAATCAAGTCACCAGCTCTTGGCCCACATCGGCCCATCGATTATCCAGAATACAAGCGCGCCAGGCAAGCTGACTGCACCCTGAGATGCATGAACCGGAACCAAATGAAGCTGAAGACGGCATAGAGCGCCAGAAACATGCCTCGGATTGGACGGGGAACTTGAGATCGCCTAAGGTTCCAAACGGCATCCAAAAACGACCCAGGGATGACTGGAGCTAAAATTCTTCTCGCTTGACCACGGGTGAGCTGGGGCAGCGGCTCAACTGGTAACCTGAGGTGAAACGGAGGCCGGCTGAACGGCTTAAGAGAAGCGACCACGATCCTGTCAAAGGAGCCGTCAAATTCGAAGGGGGATGCCGCATGTTCTTGTCTGCATTTCCGGACTTCGCCAAGAAGAACAAAAGGGGGGGGGAAGGAACACCAAATTATACAATGAATTGGCAGGTTTCTGGATATCTTCATTGTTGAAGGCAGGCACAGGAAGCAACCAACAAAACACATGTCATAGAATCAGCCGTTCCTTCCGTTTGGCAAAAGCAAGGCTGGCGCATCATGCGGGCTATGGACTTATCCCACGAGGCGGGAAGCAAAACAAGGCATGCAGCACTAAGCGTGTTCTAGGAAAACCTACGATTCTCGCAAGATTCTGAAGCAATCCCCCCATCACCGGCCGTTTCACATGATGTCTGAAAACGTATCACTATGCAAGTGCACCGCCGTGCGACCATTTCTCGGTCAAGGTCATTTACTTGAGCAAATTTCTTTCAACTTGGCTTTCAAGCAACAATCAAGACATGTGGTACGGTAACTAATTGAATACTAGCTCTCTGTGCGCTCCAAAGCTGGACTTTCATTTGAAGGTTCTGCCCCCTGGAAAGGATGCTTTTCAGTACAACTGATTCATTGGCTTCAGGACATTCTCACTTGTCGGAGGATTGGAGGACATGGGTTGAATAACCTTTCAAAGTGCCTTTGGTCTCGTTGTTTTGGGCTTTCTGCCGGGGGCTTGACTGAGAATCGCCTGGCCGCCAAGCTTTCCTCAAACTCCTCGGCACTGCCTCACAACCTAGACAAACAAAGGGTAAGGACAAGTCTCCTGGACAGAAATGGATGCGGCAAGGCAGTGCTCATATCCCGCTTTGGGGGAAGAAAAGGGCCCGCTTTTTTCGCAAGAGAAACGAAAACAACAGGCAACCCTGGGCATCAAATTCCTCCGAAGGGCCTGGAGCAAACCATGGGTGACTATGTTGTCCCCTTCTGCCTCCTGTCTTTTGGGCTTAAGGAAAAGTCGGGCTGGGCCGATTGCCGGAGCTAGAGGCAATTGAGGTCGCGGCAACTGGTTGACACCAGGAAGAAGCTCAGGAAGACCCTTGCAGCGAATTGCAGTGCGCCAATGGAAGCCACAGCACGCCTACCCCCAGTGCCAATGTGGGGTATGACTTGCCTCTGGCTTACAGTCTGTATGACGTGCGGCCTGTCCGCCATGTCCCAGTTCACTCGTCCGAACAAGCCGAGCAAAAACTGGATATCATGCGGTCCAGAGTTTGGCAGTGAGCAAGTGACCCGCAAAAAGCGGCTCCAAAATAGTCACCAAAGGTTCACCGGAAAACTCCGCACGCAAAGGACTGAGGCTAGAGCAGGAACGGATTCAACACCAGGTTGCTGTAGTCCCAGGGCAAGCCGATCCTTGGTCAAAGAACGTGCTTCTGATCGGAGAGTTCGCTGATATGTCGGTCAAAACATGTCGTCACTTTCAATCAAAGCAACTCCAGGGATCCTAGGAGCACAAAACAAAACAGCAGTTCGGTATGCAACATGTTAGTCGATTGACTTTCGGCAGGTTCAATACCGCATGCGTTCATCCACTTGCGGCGACTTAGCCTTCCAGTCCCCCAAGAAGAACTCACCGCGCACAAGCCGATGGCCAAATCTCAGCCTCTGGGTAAACCACGTGGCCAAATCTGAAACCCCCATCTTAGAACACACCTGTTGCTGAAGCCCTTTGCTTGAATTCTGCCTGCAATGACGGCTGTTTGGCATGACATTGAGCCACCCCTTCACCCCTTTCCGTAGAAGAAATCCATTCACCTTTCCCGAAACAGGCGAGTTTTTGTGACCAGGCCTCCCCCGGAAGCCAAGTCACAATGCAGAACCATGTCAAGAACCAAGAGGGTTGATATCCTGACCTTTGGCTGGAACTGCTACCTTACCCGGTTTTGATTCTTCACATTCCGTCCTAAAGCCGCCGGGCATCTGTGGCGCCCTGAGTCCGTCTTCAGCGTTAAGCACGTCGTACCTGGAAGCTCGCGGCCGCGGAAGAAACCGGCTTCTGAGAAATGCCTGTCTGAACACATACGGGTGCTTTCCTTTTTGGCTTGCCTTTAAAGCGAACAAAAGGGGGTTCAAGGCTTGCACCAGTCCCTAATATGTAACGCACGGCTCCATCAGGGACGCGCATGCAAACACACACACACACACAAACACAAACATCACTCAACAACACACAAGCACACACACACACACACAGACACCATGCTATGCAAGACTCATCAAGACTCACTTGACGCCCTGGTGCAGGGCAAACATCTGTTGGGCGAACGAAGCTGCCGGGTCAAACATGGTCAATGACCCATGCATAGGAGACAAACGAGATAGTCGAGCGTCTGCGACGCGATCTCCAATGGACATGTGCTTCAAGCAAATAATCCTCGCACATCAGGCTGCACGACTAGCGTGCTTCCTCGTTCCCGATTGGAAGCACTGTCACGTATGTCCTTTCGGGAATGCCACCTAGGACTTGGGATGAGACACCCAAGCAAAAACGCTTAAACATAATCAATCTAGACGCGCTAGGTAGTGACCATATTGGGGCTTCACATGGGCTGATCACAAGGGCTTTAACTGGCATGGCGGCATGACCAATAGGGACACCCACCAGAACAAAAATGGACATTTTCCTACAAAATGGGAGAAGTTGCCTGTGGTCATTTGGAGCCAGGAATATTGAGTAACCTCACCAGGGGATGCAATGCAGCGCTCTTTGGCGCCCTTTGCAGCAGTGAAGGTTGCATTCATTCATGAGGGAACTACATATTCGATGATGTTGCAGCCTTTTAATGTGGCTTAAATGTTCAAGCGGCATGAAACATGCATCACACTGAGGCTGGGCTTGAGATGACGAGGACCACTGGAGAGCTCTGAAATCGACTCTTCGCTCCCGGGTGACTTCTTCAGGTCTTTAGGCGCGGAAGGAAGAATGACCTGGGAAGAAAGGACGTCAGTCTGACCATGCTTTTGAAGCCTGGAAATGGGGCCTCCTACAACGGGGTATGCAGCTTCCCCATTAAACCAAAAAAAACAGTCTCCAAATTTGGGACCCTTGACATGGTGTGGGCTCCTGTGAGTTGTACCAACCAAAGGGAAGGTATCAATGTGTATCCGTAACAAGGATACACCCAATAGGTAACGTCCCTCTTGGACAGTGTTGTAACATGCAAACTCCAGAATAGGACAAACCTTCGTTGGAAAGTTTTGTCCAATGGAATAATTAGCAAGATTAGGGTCAACGGAGGGGACTATTGTTCAATGGAGCACTCAGAAAAGGTATACACCTGCTTCAAAAGTTGTTCCGAGAGGACACCAGAAATAGTTTGAACCTTCTCTGGGATGTCTCTACATGAGGTAACACTAAACTGGGTAGTTTGCCTTGGGCTTTCCTCACAAAATGGTACGCGTACCTAGCATAGCGTTACATTGCATTACATTACATTTCGTAACAGTACAATTCCATTACATTACATTTGATCATAGATTCATAAACTGAGACGAAGATCTGCCACATCTTGAAATTCAGGATAACTGGATGACTTCATTGGAAAAAAGCATCGATTCAAGAGGGGTTGAACCAAGTTTGGGTTTGCCGTCAACACAAGCCTGGCTTTGCAGCTCAGGCTTGCTTCTCTCCAAGTTTGCAGAGCGCAGCTTTCCAGCTGGCAAAACCGTTGCGAAAAACTGCTGCTCGCAATTGTGTGACGGTTTCCCCAGTTTAAGTTTGGTGGCGAGAGACAGTATGGTCACCTAACAATGCTCTGTGATGCGCCAGTGGTTCATACCCTCCGAGTTGCACAAGTGCAAATCAAAGCGAATCCTGCACGTCCATCCGGCCCGCCCCTTTCGTCTGCACAGCACAAGGCGAAACATCGCTCTTATCCGAAGCCATATGCGGGGGACACCACTGCTCAGCTTCTTGAGTAGCGAGCAAAGAAGAAATGGAGCTTCTTCGAATGGCAATGGATTCCTTTTGGCATTGAACAGAAACAGCCAATTCTGAGGGGGAATTCAACATCGAGAACTCTGTCCTTCGGCCTCTACCTCCCAACTTTCGGTGACAGCTTATGTTCCGCCTTGAGAAACTGGAGGACAGGAGTCGGCAGGCAGTACCACACATAGATGACCTGGCCACAACTTGCAAACCAAGAAAGACCTTCAGCAGGAAATGCGGGGAGCGACAGGAGTCTAGGAGGCAGGTTTTCAAATCAGCTGAAAAGACTAATCATGTGGAGAGGCGGCTCTTTGCAACAAAAATCAAATGCACTTCACCCTGCAAATCAAGCCGTTCGGTACGGACTTAGACTGGTCAGCCCAGTGCTTCCAGCTTGCCTAGATCAGGGAACACAACCTCAAACAAAAACTCCCAGGGTGGCAAAAAGTCCAGGCCACAAGTCTCCAACAAGTCTCAAAACATACCAAGTCTATCGGCCTGACTATAATCCCCTAGGTCCTGCAGTGGAGAGGTTAGAATCCGGGTACCCTTCTTTTTCTTTTTCTTTTTCTGTAGTCTATTTTAGTAGGGGAACCCTCCCCCAAAAAAGTTGGTGAGAAAGGGCACTACTGGGGAACCTAGTCCCGGTAAGCCAAGCATCCGAGGGAATCCGTGCAATGGGTGCTGGGCACCAGGCGTTGGCGAGCAACGTGTTCTGGAGGTATGGCACGATGCCGCCCATGATCCAGCCGTTCCTCTGCCACTGGCTAGGGAAACGGGGCTCTCAACTTCCAATGAAGCACCACCCAAAAAGGAAACCCACTTCAAGTTGGCCCTACTAGGTGATGTTTGAAGCCCATCAGTATACCAGTAGAGCCGGAGAAGCCGGTGGACAAATTTCTTAGCAAATACCGGATTTATAGTTCTCTTTCTCTTTCTGTTTTCTTTCTTTCTGTCTATCCTCCCCCTTCCTTCTTTTCTTCCTTCCTTGCTTTTCCTTTTTGTCTTTCTTTCTTTTCTTGTCTTTTCTTCTCTGTCTCGAACCTTTCTCTTTGGAACACGCGCTGCTTGGCACGTTTTTTGTACTGGACCTTGCGAAAGTGCTGCCCCTGTCATGCAAATGTTGCGAAAAGAGCGCGCGCGTCCGTGCCAACGGTCCTGCCTCGGAGCGGTCTCCGAGTCCGAGCCCGCGCCGACCAAACAGCGCGATCAGGCGAACTTTCAAGCGTCCCAAAGAAGCGACGCCCGCAAAGGGTTCCACCTTTTAGACATTTCTATTGCCCCGCCGCAGTGCGGCGCACTAATTTCTTTGAAATTAGCAGGGATGAGACACATGCGAGTTTAGTTGCCTCGGAGAGGGCAAGGGTCCCCATTTTGAGGCACTTGGCGTATCAGGCTTGGCATATGCAAAGAATCTTGGCGCAGGGCTGTGCCTGAAATTGGCTTGCAGAGTTAGCTGGTTGAGCCCAGCCTGGGGCGCGTTGACAATGTGGAACGCGCATGCTGTATCTTCTCTGGTCTTTTCTCTGAGAGCCAGCTTTGAGTTAGTTGCCGTAGCACGGAAGTTCATTTTAAGCTTCCTTTGCCTACACCTACCTGAGAACAGCGGCTTTGTGTGAATAAAACTCTCAAGCAAGCACCACATGGACGACAAAGAACGGCATATCCTCACGTCTGGGGCTGACTATCCAAGCAAGGAGCACACGACAGGAAAGAGCATCCGGAGAATCTGACCAGCCTTGCAAGCTATTGGGCATTCTCAAGCGGCTCCCGACGAGAAGCTGTTCTGAAAGCACCACCGGGTTGACCATCCCAGATCCCAACCTCTGAGTGAATGAGATCCTTCTAACCGGCTGCGAGTTGCCACCAGCACCTAGCATGGCAAGTCCTCTTCTGCAACATAAAATCTTGGTCCGGGATGTAGTCAGGCAAAAGTGACGGGAGCCAAATTGTGCCGGACTGCACTGTGAGTGCGAAGTGTGCTTTTGTTCCAGAATGCAGCACACCATATGCAGGCTTTGTGCATCTTCTAAACGATGTCCCCTGCATCCGAGTCGCAACGGATTGATGAAGAACTGGCCAGGTATCAGCATCAAATACCTGAAAAGTCAGCGGAAGTCCAAACCTTGACGTCAAGCAGAGGGGTCACACTAAATTAGTTGTCACTTGCTGACCTGGCTGATCACTTGCGCCCCGCACAATCGCGGTATGGACATTCTTAGACACAGGCAGGATTCCCGCAGGCTCGCAGCATGCAAACATGACCCACGTTGGCAACAAGCGAGAACATCCTTTGCTCGGAAACCCGAATCGATTTGGAGTCTGGTCGAAGTTGCTTGCCACTGTGTTTGCAATCTTAGACGACCCCACTTTGTAAATTGCTAATATCCCAGCTAATAAGTGTGGGACTTCCTTTCCATATAACCCGCTTGGGGGACTGATTGGTTGGGAATATCAACAATTTAATAAATGGGGTCGTCATCCAGGTAGGGTTGGTTGCCTTTGGACGCTTTCCACACCGTTTGGAAACCAACACACCCCAGAACGCCCAACTCTACAATAAACTACATAATACCATGTAGTGAAAGTCTGATTCTACCCTAAATCATAGCATCATGGAGGAGACCCCCGCCGGGCTGCACGTTGTAGGCCAGCGAGCTCTCAATACCCACAGGGGAGGCGCTGGAGAGCTCTTCGAGATAGTTGGGGCTTGTCATGGATTTCTCCTCAGCAGCCCAAACTCCCACCTCTTTTTCCACCTCACATAAACCGGCACACAGAAACATCCTTTTCTGGATGGGCTAAAAAACACAGGAGGGAACAGGTGCTCCAGATTGTTCAGCATGAGGATGACAACCACAAAGGTAGAATATCAACAGAGCATGGATCGTCCCGGTCAACGATTATCAACTTGCCGATCCACTCGGGTTTCCTCCCTTCGAATCTTGGTCGATTGAAGCACTCACTGGGAGCAATGCCATTCCCGAGTCACCGAACGAAAGAGCAAAATGTTTGGGAGCTTGCCCAAAGGAACGGCACCCCTCTGTTTCCATGGGACATCACGAGCCTCGTTGAGTGGGTTCCTTCGGTGCAGATTTGCTGTGGTAGTTGCCATATGTCCTGATGTTAGGTTCGGCCGAACTCCATTTCGGGCGGGTTTTGTCGGCAGGTTTGTTTGGGGCGGATGTAGAGTGGAGGCTGGCAGGGTTGGTTCAGGATGGGGGCTAGGTTCTGGTTTATGTCTGGTCTAGGACCTTGAGCTGGATGTGAATCTGGGTGTGTGTACTTTGGGCTTGCTGGTTGGTTCAGGGTGGTTCAGGAGTTGTCAAGGGTGTCTTTCGGATTGGATTGTGGTACAACATGCAGGTCTAGGGATGGTGCTGGGTGTAGGAAAGCTTGGTGTGGTCAGGGCGCGTTGGTGGGTTTGGGGTTGGTTTAGGGTGTCTCTTGCGGTTGCTTGCTTTCTTGCTTGCCTGCCTTGCTTGCTGGCCTTTCTGCTTGCTTGCCACGAGAATCGCGGAGAACACAAGCATGGAAACAAGGTGAAACAACAAACAATGGCTTAAAGTATCTCACCAAAAAGCAAAATGCTCGTGTGACGATTGTCGCACGCTGCAATTAACTGCGCCACATGAGGTGAATGTCAACCAAAGTGTGTCCAAAACAACACATACAAGTTCACATCCAACCCAACCGATGATTTTGGGGGGACTTTCATTCTTTTCCGTGGCAAGGTCAAAGCATGTCAACTTTGGCAGCCCTCCCGCCTTGTTCATGACCAACCTTGGTGCGCAAGTTTGCAGTGTGGAGCATGACGACCCCAAATCCGATTGATGCCATGCGCAACGCAGCAAGGCTATTGTTGCCACCTATGCGCCATCGAAACTCCACGATCGCAGTTCTTGAGATGCTTCCCGGATGTGCTTTTCAGGCTGATAGCCCAAGTGACACAGGTTCCAAAGCGTTTGCGCTTTTGGAGGGCATCCTTTTGATGTTTATTCAAAGTGAGACCAACAGGAACACCACTATCTGTGGGGTCCCTCAATCTTGACACACACACACACACAGAAACAGCCCGATTCAAAGCTCGGATCTCCGGAGCCATGCACAAATGGCGAAATCAGATACGTATCGTTGGTTGCACTGGCCAACTCCTTTTGGAGTAGAGGCACACCCAGTCATTTGGAAGGCCTCCATCGTGACGCATGAGACGCACAGAAGCATGAGCTGCTGCTTGTACCATGTATCCAAGCGCACGAGTTTCGCCCATTGACAGGAGACTTAAGGAAAAGCATGTGTAGCACACTCAAACCCCCGGTAAAAGAATGGATGAATCCTATCATACGTTGCCAAAGAGGCATCCTCTCGCTGCGGAACTTCCAATGTGCGGTCCCCAACCATTAAACCACGGTGACATAAGGGTATGTGTCAAACAAAACAGGGGGCCTGAAAAATGTCAACCCTCACCCAACAGAGATGGCGTGCCATGCATCTGTGCAAGAAAACCCAGAGTCTTGGCCAAGGCGCACCGAGTAGCACACGAGGAGCAGGGAAAACATAGTATTGCCTGACATGCAGTGGTCATGGACTGAAGGGGGCTACGTATAGGCAGAGGGGGGTCTATCACCTACAAAACCATCAAAAAGCCTTATTCAACAGTGCCGCCTTAGGCCCCCCTTGGAGGTCCATGAAGTGGGAACCCCATGGTCAATGCACTGCAAATTCCGAGTATCTTCAAGCCAGGGAGCAGAAGGTCATGATCAAGTTCATGACATAAAGCCACACATCTGCACGATCCTGGCCACAGTTACGGTAGCAACCAGCAACGGCAAATGTGTCGAGTGTGGATTTGTACTCATTGTTCGCGGCGTTGAATCACTTTGCTTGTTGCAACGGAACCACAATAACCAGACAAGGACATCTACGATAAGTGTTTAGAACGTCTGCTGGCTCGGCTCACAGCCATGGCTGAAGTCAGCGTATGGGAAAGCGAACTGTTGAGCGTTGGCAATGCGGCAGGCATGAAGCAAAGGTTCGTTCCCGTGCCCTGTCCTGGGCTGTTTGTGGAATGCCCAGTGACCCTATAGAAACATCATCCTTTTCAGCGGCGAGCTAAGAAAATCGAGTGTAGGATTGAACAACAGGGTAAGCCACTGCAGTTAGCAAGACATTTTGTCGCCTGCGCCGGCTCCGGCAGCATGTATGCTGAAATTTAAGCGTCCTTTTGGTGGGTCACCTTTTGGTTGGTGGTTCAAGGGGAATTCAAAGGCAACCCACTTTCAGGGGCGCCCCTTTAGGAAACACCAAGCAAGACACCACACAAGAAGGCTAAATAGCGCGTGATGGAACCAAGATCGGAATTTCAGACAAACACATTTGGTGAACTTGCAACCAGCAGTGAACTGTCCTGCTTGCCGTCTACGGCTGGTGACCCAAGCCCGTAATACGTCTCAGGCCGGTTCGCCTGTGACACAACAAATGACTTAACAGATTGACACTCCAAAAGCCAGGCTGTTGCTCATACTTTGGGCTGGTCAGGGAGCCAACATGAGAAGCTATGTACAAATCACTGGTGCCAGTTCCTGCATGGGCCTTTGCCTGGCTGAATTTCGGGATGCCTCGCCAAGGAAAAACGAGGGCGCATTTTTGGCGCTCTCTGAAGAGCAACAAAGGGCGATCAGCCATTCGTAGGGGCCCCCGTTTGACACACAGGCCGGCTTCAATTCGACACCTGTGAGCTCTTGAATCATAGAACTTTTCGTTTGAACCAACCACACGCACACACACACACACCAAACACACCTCCTATTTGTCTTTCCGAAGGGGTCATTAGGCTGGTTGTGATTGAAGCCAAACAGAGGCCGCAAATGGCAAACCAAGGCTTCAAGGGCAAGCTGACCACAACTTCGGCCAGTCCTTGCGGTGGTAGCCAACACCATACGCAGCTTTCCAGACTTGACCTTGAGCGGGACAGTGACTCGAAGCAATTTCCATGGTTACAAGCCTTCCCAATATGGCCGTCAAAACCATGATGTAGGCTTTCACACGCATCATACAAGACCCTTCCATTCCAAACTTCGAACAAATGGCAACCAACCTTCTCCTTACAATTCGACTCGGATGCTGCCCAACCCCATGGGCCGGGAATGTAGCTCCGCCTCCAAACACAGACCCGTGCTCAAATCGCACACCTGACTGGATCACAGGCGCAGGTTATTCCCTTAAACCTAATGTCCACTCGCCTCATGCGACTGTTGCGCCGCATAAACTTCCGGACTGTTGGACAATCTTTTTTCTGCCCTTTGTAGGGTCGCTGGTGGGAAGCCTGCCGGTTTTCCGTAGAGAAATGTAGATACAACTCGTTCAATAAATGAAACCAAGCAGAAAAGTGCCATCCGACTTTTATCAAACCTACTTCAGGACATCCACGGGCGCTAGTTGGAAAGCCTGCCAATTAGCGAAACCCATTGCTTGTGGCTTCCTTTCGGGAAAAACAAATCAGCTCGGTGATGTCGCACCCTTGCCACTAGAGACACAGCCCACCAAGCGCGCCCCGCGCTTCGCGCGGGCGGGCGGCCACCCAGCTGGCCGTTGATGATGCCCATGATGATGCCCTGCAGAATCCTCACGCTCTCAACGGACCCTCGCGCCGCCAATTCGTTTGCGGTGGGGGGGGGGGGGGGTTGGACAGTGAAAGGACTCCTTCAATACTGATGACGCCTCATGATTCTTCAAAGGATTGCGTCCATTCACAGTATCAGCCGGACTAGAAAAATGCCATTCCATCCAACAAAAGTATTCGGGAGATAACATGAGGCAACTGATTCATGTTGGTCTGCAGCTGCATCGCTCTTGTGTGAACGAGGTTGTCTCTGCTAAACTGCTGGGAAAGGACCCAACAGCCATCTTTATTCGCCCCTCCAAACTCCAGGAATAAACCAAGTGCTGTCAGTATTCGAAAAGACTGGACATGCTGGGCATTCATACCAAGTCTGGCTCTGGGAACGGCAGTTGCAAATCCACGCGTTGAACGTCGCAAGGCAGGGCTGTCTGGAGAGCCTTCGCTTAGCCCTGGTTGCGAATCGATTCTGATGCACTACATGGAAGCGTTCGCCAAACACCAGAAGTTCACCTTAACATCTCTGAAAGGAGATTCGCTTTTTTTTTTCTTTATCTAACAGGGTTGGTCCGCAGCCTCTGGCCCAAAAGCTGAGTGATGGGACATCTGCACAAGAACACAAACAAATCCCCTCCTCGTACTTGCAATCGCGAATCGATTGTGAATCGAAGTGGATTTCAAGCCAAACTCGCAGTCAAGGGCTTCGTGCTGAAATTCTTAGGAGACTGAGCAGAATCCTGCCACGCCTGCTGTTCGGATGCAAAAGAAGCAAGGTATCGCAGTGCCAATGCAAGGCAGCTGCTGCCATAGCGAAGAAGAGCCCCCTCTATGATAGCGCGGGAACAAGTGTGGCACATGATTGCGACCGCGAACCATCCTATTCATCGTTTCTCCACGCGTTGCTAATGCCTGACACGTTTTACCACCTGACCTCATGTATTCATAACCCACTTCCCAAGCTTGTGTGCCAACAAACACGTTGGGCCCCTCCGAGTGTTGCTTTCCAACGCAAGCTTAGCCAAGCTCCCCCCAAAAAAGGGTTCTTAATCATCACCGGGGATTCATCAGTTCTCCGTGACTCCACCAGACATCCAGCAACTCCATGTTCATCGGCAACAATTTTTCAGTTGTCCTCTTGGTTTGCCCAAGTCAATTCTTTGAAACAAGCGGGATCGACCAGCCATTCCAGCTTCCTATCGGCCGAGTCGCGTAATCGGCCCACTGGCATTACTGCCTGCTGAAAGGTAGGGCATCACCACGCTCCTGCATGGGCGAAATCAAATGGAAGATCCGCCAAGAACGTTTTTGCAACTCTACGCAACTGTGTTGTGACGAGACGCGTCGTGAGATTCTGGTGATAAATCCTGGGTCCAGGTCAACAAAACAAATGGATCAATGAAACTACAGCTTACAAACATCCAATTAATAATTGATCAGAGCTGTTTTATGAACCGCTTGCCGGGACTGACATGCCTGGCAGGAACATGAGACACACGAGTTCTCAAACGGCGTCAACAGGGAAAGTGTTGCAGTCGTTTCTTGAGTCAAGCGCCAAATAGTGGCCCTGCAGGGAAGATGGCCTATCAAACAATCGCAACCTTACAATGCACTTTGAAGGATATGATCACTGATTGATTCTTCTGAGCAGCTAATAGCCTGATACTCCACAATTGGCACATTTCAAAAAAAGTCTCAAAGCAACTGCGAAGGAAACTCAGAAACCTTGGCACGTTGATTGCCTTAGCTTTGCGATTGAACGCGGCGTTTCCTCCCGGCTGGCAAGTTGCAACACGCGCCTGTTCCAAAGGAAGACCAGAACGTTGATGCAGCAGAAGTAGAAGAAGATCTGGCCGAGCGGGACGGGGCGACACGTGCATCACAGAGTCGTGAGATCGGCTGAAATTCACCCGTTTGGCAAACCCTCTGTCAGGCTTTTTCGCGAGCCCCAAAGAACTTGGTTGACTTTGGAAGGGGAGCAAACATTTAAATTGCAACAGTGAAGTGGGGATTTCCCACTAAACCACAATAAGCAAAAATGCAAAATGCTTCCCAACAACCATGAGAAGAGCGCAGAATGAGTTTGGATGGTTCTCAGAAGTCTCGGGCTCATCCATGGACAAAGTTTGATGAATTCAGCTCCACTCTGCACAAAGAATGGGTCAAGACAAGCAAGAACGGTTCCCGACTTAATCAGGCACCACCTCGCCACGTCTGCGGCACGCCTTTACCAACATAATATGTTTGCAACTGTCAACGTAGAGTGAACGAAGAAAAGACACGGAGTGCCAACTGAGATCTTTGGAAGATGCAGTCCTTCGACTTCTCTCCCGAAAGCTGTTGGGGCAAAAGGCGAGAATTGACCCCAATTTGCCAATCGGTCGCAGCCAAAAGCAATGAGCTGATTGCTTGATACATGTGACATCTATCCTGCAATCCTGGCTAGGGACCCGTGAAGCGACTCCTTATCCTGCTCTAAGAACCCCTTGCGACGCCTTTTGACTGGCCTAACACATGGATTTGGACAACACTACTCTATGCCCGGAATACGTTGCTTGATGTTTGCCTTTGAACCATAGCACGTCTGGTTTGATTGCCTGCCAACGGCGCAGAAACTTGCTCCCAGCGCCTGCAACATTGCACACCTGGCAGAGCGGTCGAGTGTGTGGCCGGGCAAGCCTGTTGTGAACTTCACAGAAGATGCTCTATTGGGGGATGTTGTCATTTGCGGACCACAAAATCAGGCCAGTAGGTGTTAGTGCTTTGTGTAGGGCCTTGCGTTCTTCTTTTTTCTTGCTCTCTGCCTAGAAGCGGGCAAAGGAACTAACCTTGCCAACAATTCCCTGCAAGGATCGATTGATGGTTGAAAGGGGCACGCTCCCCTGTTTCTTCTGTCGCAGTCCTCACTTGTCTACCCTTTTCACTGTTAGCCGTGTTGCTCACTAGCCTGAATTGGAAGGTTCAGTGGATGCCTCGATTGGTCTTTTGCGAGGAATCACCTGAAACCTTTTCACGCTTTGCGGCTTCCTTGCAAAAATTGCACGAACCAGGGTTGTCCATTCTGGCTGCGCATGGAAAAACCGCCTTGGGATCCTGGATTGAGCATGGGTCTGATCAGTTTCCGTCGAAGCCTCTCGTTGTGCTGGATCTTGCTGTCCGGAAAGTGCAGATTGGACCAGAAGACGTCCGGCGGCTCAGACTTCACCACCGACGCCTCTCGATGGCTGTGGCAATCAATCAGTCAACCCTTTCTCTGTGATACTTTTGTTCATTGATTCCCATAACTCTTCATGGATTCAAAGGGGAGCCCCTTGGAAGCACAAAAGCTGGCCCTAACCATGCGCCTCCCTAGTGGAACTTTGTGCGCTTGCGACATCGTCATCGGAATTTTTGACCATGCAAGCTGAAAGATACAGTGCTCTCTGGGGCAGCTGTTCCTCGTTATGGCCACATGAGGAGCACGCAACACGATTGGGGCTTGGATTCCTCTGACTAATGTTTGGCCCAGTATTGTCTGGATGGCTTTAGTGGGAAAGGATTGGCTTTGTCCGGGTTGGTGCTGCTTTCGTTCTAGTTCAGGATCAGTTCGAGTTTGGTTCATTCTGGGTGATGTGGTGGTCGCCACTGTCTATAAATTTACGGCCAGCCCCTGAGGTTTGCCTGCGCCCCGAACCAACGCCCCGACACAAAAACACTAAACCTAAACCCTAAAAACCTGAAATCCAAACCCTAAAAACCAGAAACCTAAACCTTAAAAACCCTAAACTTAAAACTTAAAACCCTAACCCTAAACCCTAAAAACCCTAAACCTAAACCCTGAAAACCCTAAACCTAAACCCTGAAAACCCTAAACCCAAACAATAAAACCCTAAACCTAAACACTAAAAAGCCAAAACCTGCTTGCAGAAACCTAAACACTGAAAACCCTAAACCTAAACCCTAAAACCTAAACCCTAAAACCCTAAACCGAAACCTTAACACCCCCCAGACCTGCCTGCTACCCACGCCCTCGTGGTACCACGGCCCCACGTTCTGAAGAGAACGCAGGTCACCACGTGTCAGGTATGGCTGCACGAGTTCTGCTACTTGAGTAGTAAAGGGTGCCATACTTGAACCACGTGCTGGACAAGGGTGGATTCGGGGCTGCCGGCAAACCACGGGGGCTGTGGGTAAATTTAGCATTGGCCTAGTGCTGGCTTAGCATCTGTTTAGTCCCGTGCCAGTTTGGATTTCGTCTTTCGTGTGGTCAAGGGAACATCCTGCAGGGCACAAAGCGGATCCAAGGCGCAGGCTCAGGCCATGGCTCCCGCCTCCATGATCTTGTTCTTGTACTGGAAGATGCCTTTCTCAGCCTGGTACTTGGCCATGATTTTATCCTGGCGCCCGAACAAACACGGGGGACCCTGGTTTTTTTTCCTTCGGGTGACTGGAATCGAAGACGCAGCCCGCGCGCCTTGAAGGTGTTCTCTTTCAAAACCAGGAAAACGTCTCCTGGCATTGTGTCGCGAGGCCCCCAAAAGGAGGGACAACATGGCGGTCTGATGCGTGGGTTTGTGTCAGAATAAGGGAACCCTCAAAGCGATTCCTTTCCCTTCGGCTCCCGCTTAGAACTACCCAAAACGAGAGTAGCATCAAGAAAAAAACACTCTGTCTCAAAGTTGCGCTGGGATGCCACTCCTGCAGTTGCCTGTGATTCAAAGTTGGACTGCTGTACATCTCCCTAGAAACAATTTGGCAACTGCAAGCACCCAAACTCTCGTGATGCTTGAAACTTGGCGACATCAAGTGCAAAGATGCTGCAGAGTATAGCAAATCTTGGCCCGACCTGGAGCCCAAAAGTTGTCTTGCTGGCTAGGGAAATGAAGCGGACCACCAAAAAGGCACCACCATTGCCATGTTCACCCATGGGGCAAAAACACCTATTCCACGGAGCTGTGGCGAAATGAGCATAGAACCATTTGACAATTGGTTCTACCGAATGGCCCATCTGTAGTGAGGCCTTGCCATCAGCCCGATGAAACCAACAAAGAATGTGGAGTTGCTCAAATGTCCATGTTCTCTTTAGCCAACCCAGCCAGCCTCTCACATGCTCGACCGTATTGAGGGCCGTGCGCGCCTGTGCCTTTGAGCGCCCCGGCACCGTCGAACCACTGACGCACCTAGCACACCAAAGCTCTCCGTCAGACCTCTGGTCACTGCCCATCAGGGATCCTTGGAACCTCAACGAGTCCGTACTCGATTGAAGTTGAGCAACTCAACCTCCCACCCTTGCCCTGGTTTTGATTGCATGCTCACTTGGAGGAAGATAGATATCCACTTCTGGCACTCCGCTCCTCCTTGCGGTCCTCCTCTTTCAGCTTCTCGAGGTAGTCCAGCTCCTTGAGCACTCACGTCAGCCCGTGCCCCGTTTGCGGTTTCAGGTCTATGCGCGTCGCCTTTTGTACGCTTGCGCATGTATCAGTTGTATCGCTGCCAGCCCCAAAACGCAGCAAGCGCCAAAACATGGGCCTGGGCTGACTTGAAACTCTGTGGTGACCTCTCTGACAGTTTCATACATCCGCAGCACCTCCAGCCAGCATCAAGCATGACTTTTGGTGGGTCGATGCTTCCAAGAAACACCTAAGGAGCCTTGAACCCTGTTCTTTCTTCGCGTGCATGCTTTCGAGCACATGCAGTGGATGGCGGGGACTCTACACTGCCGGCTTCTCTGCATCCCACGTGCATCTGCCGTGGCCTGTGCCCGAGCTGTAGGTGCTTTGCTGGTTTTTTGCCAACTTGAAGTGGCAAACAGGTCACGTCAGAGTATCCAGGCTTTGGGTTGATCGCGTGAAGTTCTAGAGCCCCTTTGCCTTCGCCAAACTGACGCTGAACCAACCTGAAACAAACTGTAAACCCACCCGAAGCAAGACCCACCGCATGCGAGCAAGCCACCCCCTAAACCCACACAAAACCCACACAAAACCCACCAACACCACTCCTCAATCCAAAGCCCTCCAAACGCCAACCCAAAACCCGACCCCACGCGTTTGCGACTGTGCAGTCGGCTTGAAAAGTGAAGCAACGCTTCGTTTGCCTGGAAAGTTGTTCATTAAGTTGTGGACACAGCGATGGAATCAGCAAACTGTCCCTGCCATTGCTCGCTTTTTTGTTTGCCCTGAGCTCTCTCAGGCAAGAAGCGCAGGCGCACGGACCCTGCCTTGTCAGAATTTGCGCTGTCGCGTGCACTTGCTGCTTCTTGTTTGTTGAGTATGCGGGATTAACACATGTGCTTTGCGTGGGATATTGATCTTGCCGAAGCAGAACTTCTGTGTATGTGTGGCCCTTGCGCCAAGAGACCATGCATAGAAAACCTTGCCTTCTCTACAGTGCATGCTCGTTGAGGCAAAACAAGTGTCCCAGGGCAACTAGCCTAAGGAAGTCAATGACACACTGCCCAACCGCTGCTTGCCGAGCATCCATTTTGAGCACGTCATTGCTGCCGCCAGCGTCTCGTCTCATCTCCAGCTCCAAAGCGCTGCAAAACCTGGCAACTTCCACCCCGACTTCACCCCAGGCGAGGAATGGCTTCGTGCCAATTGGCCAAGGAACTGCACGTGCTCTTTGCCAACCCTTTCCACGCAAGCGGCCTTCATGGAAGAAATCGCTTGCTTTCGCAAAAGCGAGAAAGCACCTTTCGCACAAGCCAGCTTCGGGGCACTAGGCCCTGCAAGAAAGGGGCCTTCCAAAAAGAGAATCCTCCACACATGGGTACGCATGCTTTGGAGCTCCATGTTACCTGCTGAACGGACTGCTTGGCAAAGCCTTGTGAAATGTCATCAACCAACGCCGCAAGCATGCAAATGGAATGAGTATGGTGGCCGATTCATCGATACCACCAACACAACTCATGATTGGACATCTGAACGGTGGTTACGTCGGTAGTTCAACTTTATGGTGAAATATGAGCCAACATTGAGCTTCCCATTCAGTCCTGTTGGTCATGTTGTTGACCTTGTCGACTCGATCACCTGTCCGGGCCGCTGTCACAAGTGCAGTCTATGCTGCTGAATGCCTCGAGCAGTACTGCACAAACGATGCTCAATGCCGCCTTTGGCGAATCAAGCTGAGAACTTGCTCACACGAAAACATGACTTGCAAGCAGGGACCCCGACAGCCTTGGTATGTAACCATTCAAGGCTCAGTTGCAATGTTGTACATCTGAACAGAACATCTTGGACATGAAAAGCAAATCCAAAGCTTTCCTTTGGGAGATGTAATTGGTGCTCTTGGTTGGTCGCCGCAGAAGTCAACGACTTTAATATAGAGTCATTTGGTGTGGGCTCTACCTTCCTCAACAAGCAAGCCTTTTTGCCACGCAAATGTTGTGCCAAGCTGCCGAAGTCATAGCCAATACCTGTGATGTGGGAATGCGACCCAGCTGCTCTGCGGCACTTGACCCAGCATAACAGAAACCAACAAGTCTGCCACCCTCAGCACCAGCACCAACTGCAGCAACAGCAGCAACAGCAGCCGCAGCAACAACAACAGCGACGTCAACAGCGCTAACACCAACACCATTACCATAATTACCAATAAGCAACAAACAACAAACAACATACAACAAACACCATAGAAAATACACCACACATCAAACATGAACCAACAAACGCCATACAACACATAACAAACCACAAACAACATACAACGAACACCAAACAACACACAACAAACACCAACCAGCACACAACAAACAACATACAACAAACACCAAACAACAAACATCATACAACATGAAACACAACAAACAACACAAAACAAACAACACACAGCATACACCAAACAACAAACATCAGACAACATACAGCACACAACAAATCACACACAACAAACAACACACAACATGCAACAAACAACAAACAAGAAACAACAAACAACATACATCAAGCAAACACAACCACCAACATAAAACAAGGAACACACAACAAAAGAACAAACACCGAGCAGCAAACAACATACGAGAAACAACATACAACAAACACCAAACAACACACAACAAACACCAAACAGCACAACAAACACCATACAACAAACACCAAACAACAAACACCATACAACAAACACCAAACAACACACATCATACAACATACAGCACACAACAAATAACAAACACCAACCAACACACAACAAACAACATACAACAAACACCAAACAAAACAACAAACATCATACAACATGAAACACAACAAACAACACAAAACAAACAACACACAGCATACACCAAACAACACACATCATACAACATACAGCACACAACAAATCACAAACAACAAACAACACACAACATGCAACAAACAACAAACAAGAAACAACAAACAACATACATCAAGCAAACACAACAACCAACATAAAACAAGGAACACACAACAAAAGAACAAACACCGAGCAGCAAACAACATACGAGAAACAACATACAACAAACACCATACAACATACAGCACACATCAAACATCAACCAACAAACGTCATACAACAAACAACAAACAACATACAACAAACACCAAACAACACACAACAAGCACCAAACAGCACACAACAAACACCAGACAACAAACACCAAACAACAAACATCATACAACATACAGCACACAACAAATAACAAACAACAAACAACACACAACATGCAACAAACAACAATCAAGAAACAACAAACAAAAACCAAAGCATAAAGCAAGGAACACACAACAAAATAACACACAACGAGCAGCAAACAACAAACGAGAAACAACAGCCATACAACAGACAACAAACACACACACACACACCCACTTTACAAACAGCAAACACCAAACACCATACAACACACAACAAACACCAAACAACAAACAGCACACAACATGCAACAAACAACACACAACAAACAACATACATGATACACCAAACAACAAACACCAAACAACACACAACAAACACCATACACCAAACAACAAACAACACCTAACAAGAAACAACAAACACCATACATCAAGCAAACACAACAACAAACAAAAAACCAACACACAATACAGCATACAACAAACAACAACCAACAACAACACCAACAACAACAACACCACCACCACCAACAACAACACCAACAACACCAACAACAACACCAACACCAACACCAACACCACCACCACCACCAACAACAACAACAACCACAACCAACAACCAGCAACCAACCACCAACAACCACCAACCAACAACCAGCAACCAACAACCAACAACCAACAGCAACGGTAACAACAACGACAACGACAACGACAACGACAACAACCAACAACCAACAACCAACAACCACAACCACAACTACAACAACAACAACAACAACAACAACAACAACAACAACAACAGCAGCAGCAGCAGCAGCAACAGCAACAGCAACGGCAACGGCAACGGCAACGGCAACGGCAACAAGCAACACCAACAGCATTAACAAAGAACAGCCACAGCGGCAACGACAACCAACAACCAACAACCAACAACCAACCCACAACAAATAAGCACAACAACAACAACGACAACAACAGCAGCAGCAGCAGCATCAGCACAGCAACAGCAACAGCAACAACAACAGCAACACAACTGCAATCATAACCACAACCACAACAGCAACAGCAACATTGACAGCAGCAACAGGCACAGCAACGAACTGCAGACTCGATTCAGGTGACTTTCGAGGTGCTCGAATCACCAATTCATGCATCCAACTTGTCTGCACCAATTCGGGAAATGAGGGGAGACCAACCGATTTTTTCCTACCCTTTTAGTTTGATCATCTTATGCGGAGCATGGAGAATCATTCTGTCGGTGTGATTTGGAGCATCATCGCAGCCAAGCTGCTCACGCCCTCCACCTCACAACTGCCGAGACCACACCTAGGCATGGCATGAAGCTTGGGTGGGTTCACCAATGGCTCGGTGGTCAGCAGGATCCCAAAAGGGAACCCAAAACGGAACCCCCAAATGCCCAAAGGCCCAAAGGAGTCAACTCTGCGACATGGCCAAGCAAAGCGAAGAAAGAGTTCGGAGCCGTGAGGGCAAACCATGGCAATCAAAACCGGCAGAGTTTGCAAGCATAAACCAATGCTATCCTGCAATTGCACATGGCTCTTAAACAACATGGTATTTGCGGCATCTGGGACAACCCTTGTACCTGCTGGAATGATTCCACGTGGTTAGAACACATTCAATACATTTTCAAATGTGAACGCTTTGCAAAACATCCCACCTTTGGGGGGAGAGGAGGGGGTGCCCCGCTTCCAGTTGTCTAGTCATATAGAGGCAAACATGAAGGTATGCACGCAATTCCAGGGGTCACCCGCCTCCCAATCCGAGTTCGAAGCCGGTAGCGGGGGGGGGGGGGCGTAAACACACAAAGGGCCAGCTTGATGGGGCCATGAAAGCGAGTGCCAGGGCGCTTGAGCAAGGCTTCCTGCGCCCACTTCTTGAGTTCCACCTACGTTGGGTGTGAGACACTCAGTGGAACATTGGATGAATCGATTCAGCTCGCCCCGAGTCATCAAATGACATCAACTACCTATTTCAACTGCATATAGCAAACACAAGAAGACATAGTGTGCAAAATGGCATTCAGCTGTCATTCTCACGGGGGTCTGATCGCCGGGCCAACAGCTGACAACAAAAAAACAATTCTAGGCAGCAAGTAGGAGCGGATCTTGTCAATTGTGAGTAAACATTGTGATGAACCGCCAAGCATTCCGACCGTTCACCGTTCGGAGTGTACTGCGAGCCAGTCTAGCTGGCCACAAGTTGCACCGTCGGGGTGCGGCTTGCGTGGAACACCCATTGTTCAGGGTTCGTGTGGCAAACCGGAGGCAAACCGGAGAATTGGTCGGGCTCAAGTGTATGTGAGTGAATACACGCAACAGTCCCTCGGCCGCATGTCGAAGCGAACAGCCAGCCGACCGCATGACTCTTTTTGCCAAACAAGGCTGTAAGAGAAAAAGCTGAACACCTCAAGGGTCGAAGTGCAGAAGCGATGCGAACGTCGCCTCGTTCGTGGCCTCGGGCGGAAAGCCTGCGATGTCGTGAAGCAGGAGGGGCATTGGTATACAGCATTTGTGTGACACATAATTGGTTGAATATAAATGGGTTTTCGGATGCAACCATGATTGCCCTTTGGTGCAAGCTGGAACCCGTTTATTCTGAGACCTCGCCTGGGCATGTGTGTTTCTCAAAATTGGGGACCTTCCGGTGGTTGATTTCCGGCTTCGTCCAAAAGGCGGGAGGCCATTTTGAGAAACGCCCGCATGGTCATCCGCGCCTCGCAATAAAACCGCGAAGTCGGTCATGCTGTGGGTGGTGGCATCAAACCTGTCGGCGGGTCAGGGTTCCAGAAGGATGCATCTAAACATCACCTACTCTACGAGGGGGATTGCGTAGATTTTCTCCCAAAATCGAAGGCTGCTTTGCACAAAACTTGGAATGCCAATTCAATGATGACTCGCAGTACAATGTAAAGGTGGTTCTCAAACCGGAAACACATATTTTGTTCGCCTGACTGGAACCTGTTTAGTGCCAAATTGCACGAGCTCAGGGGGGGAGCCTACTCCAAATCAAGAAGTGTTTCACGCGACTCGCGGACTGGTTTGAACACTTCCTGAAGCGCCTTTTCCGGATCAAGGACCATGCAACTGCGACCATGAGACTCACTGATTCCTCCGAGGCAAACTGCAACAGAAATAAGATGCCACATGACACATGATGCCAGCAGCAGCACCAACACCACCAACACCACCAACACCACCAACACCACCAACACCACCAACACCACCAACACCACCAACACCACCAACACCACCATCACCACCAACACCACCAACACCACCAACACCAGCAACACCAGCAACACCACCAACACCACCATCACCACCAACACCACCAACACCACCAACACCACCAACGCCACCATCACCACCAACACCACCAACACCACCAACACCACCAACACCAGCAACACCACCAACACACCAAGCTAAATCCTTGCACGGAGCACAGCTTTCACAAGCAGACGCATGGAGGCGCTCACTGCCTTGCAAAGACGGCCGCGGACGGCGGCGCGCGACCGTGGCGGATGGGGCTACCAGCTCTAC